CCAGATGAGCTAATTCTACTTTATTGTAAGGTTACATTAACAGAATCTTGCAAGTCTGAAAGTACTTCTCTCCCTCCATCCCATTTACAGCCCCAAAACTAGGGAGAGTCCATTCTGAGTCTCTTGTCCTGCCCACATTCCTGCTGTGGGCTAAGCTACCTTTTATCTGACTGTTCCCTTGGTTGCATCTCATTGCCCTGTCTCCCAAAGTCATTCCCATGAGATCTCTACTCAAACTGTTGATTAATAATATAATTATAGTACTTTTCAGTGGTGGTGCCCACCAGTGGTGGCACCCCTGCTCTGGAATCCTTTTCCTACGCAAAGCAAATATATTTTTAATACTCCTAGGCCTTTTTATATAGTAATATTTTGACAAGTATCTCATGCTGCATGAAGATTTTAATCTAATATTATTCCTGCAGTCTTTCCATTTCTGCTGTTAAAACTGTGTTTTAGCTTTTGTTTTTAGTTTAATTTTAGATTTAGTATCTTAAAATAGTTTGTGTGCTGCTCTAGAAAAACATTTGCTTTTAAAAGTGGCATATATTTTTTTTAAAAAGTAATAGCTATGTGTAGATTCTAAAAGTAAGCTGTCACTTCTCAATGGTATGATTGGCATCACAGAATATTGAACTACAATCACATTAGCAGGCAGCTGACCAGTGTGTCAGCTCTAGTGATTAATACTGCAATTTATTTAATGATGTAATTTGATATTCAGTCAATAACTGAGTAGATACTATTTTAAGAAGGCAAATTTCAATTTAAATTCCAAAAGTTTATGTTTGTCTAGACATAACTAAAATTTGAACATTTCTTTTAAACAGACTGGCTCTTACCAAATTGGATATTTTGGATGTATTTCCTGAAATTAAAATTGGGGTTGCTTACAAAATAGATAATAAAATCATACCTCATTTCCCAGGTGAGTAAATATATGTGTACCATATATGTTCATTCTACAGCTTTACTGGCACTAAAAAGATATGGTTACTGTTAGATGTGCTCCATTGCTTCAGTAAGTTTCGTTGATATAATTTCATATATTTCATCTATAAAGAAATTGCAGTTCCCTGCATTAATTATTTGGATAGGGAACTTTTCTCCTATGTGATAGATATAAGACTTCAGCTATTTATTTCCATGTCACATTCATTTTATAAGCTACCAAAGGAACGATACCAACTGCTTTTCTTATACAGTAGTTTCTCTCCGTCTCCATTACCATTTTAGGATGGGCTTATATTCTTCAATTCAGTGACTGTGGTAGCTAAACTTATTTTTATGACAGTTTTTCTGTGATCAAAACTGACAAGTTTGTTCTTATTAACTAATTATTAATCAGCTGTAGAAATTCCTGAGCTCAGATTATTAGTCTTATGTTAGTGGTGGTAATATAAATATAATTACATCTATTAGTATAGTGTTTTTTCTTCACAGCAAACCAAGAAGTCTTAAATAAAGTAGAGGTGCAGTATGAGACCCTCCCAGGATGGAAGAGAGACATATCGAATGCAAGGACATTTGATGAATTGCCTGTAAATGCACAAAATTTTGTTCGATTTATAGAAATAGAGCTAGGAGTTCCAGGTAAGTACAGCTGAAGTGCATGTTTGAAGGGACCCTTCAAATGAGATGTGCTGTAAAATTGTCCTTAGGGATCTTCATGTTGCTGTACAACAATTCATAATTTTTGTTGTTAGCTATTTCTAGCAATCAAATCACCCTCTATAAATATTAAGTTTGTGAAAAAGAAGCATCAAGGAATCTGAAATCTTACTTTACAAATGAATATTGATTAGTTATATTCCTATTTAAACTGGTTGCTTGTGGTTTTAGATCATTTAATGTATTTGTTTTCTAAAAGGGAAATTGTTTGTATTTTAAGACAATAATTTAAATTTATTGAATGAAAAGTTCCTTTTGAACTTGAGCAACTAATGATTGTCTTAATATTAAATGAATGGAATTGTATTTAGCAAGCACAATTCATTGTTTCATTATTTGATAAACTGGAAAAGTTAATACTCCGACTTATGTTAGATGGCATTATCACATTTTTAAATGTACTTTTAAAAGAAGAGATTGTTGATGGAAAATACTGAACTTTCATATATTAGATTTTGTGCCCCTCCCACCCCGCCATGGCAAAATTACTAGTTTTTCTAGCAAACTTTTTTCTGCATCAGTATTGCATCCTTGACAGAATTGCTTGAAAATTTTTGATCCTAATCAGCAACACAAACATAGGATTAAGGAACAGGACATCACACAATTGGCCAAGTAGTTCAATGAAATTACTGATATAAATTATCTGTGAATAATGAATTAGTGTGGCCAAATTACCAAGGAACAATTAACTATTGATGAAATTTTAAAAGTATACACCAATCTGCAAGAAGCTGTGTGCCAGTGATAAAGGTGGTGTCTGATGTATTTTGAACTAGGTGATTTTCTTGAGAATTAATCACAGCAATAATTGGTTTTCTAACATATGCATGTGCATCATGGAATGGCAATTAAAACTTTAAGCAATAGTGCTTTATTCTACTGATTTGCATATACTTCCGTTCATAAGAAAGTCTTTCCTTCAAAATATGATGCAAATTTTTTTTTGTTTTTGCAGTTAAATGGATTGGAGTAGGAAAATCCAGGGAGTCGATGATCCAGCTCTTCTAAAGATATTGGATAAATTGAAGAAAAGAAAGCACACTCCACAAAGACTGTTTGTCTACATACACACTCACACACACAGACACACACATCTCTTAACCCAATAAGCAATTATTTGGGTGGGGAAATTGGAAACATACTGTAAAACAACAATGTAAAACAACTAGAGGTAGTCTGGGAAAAAAAAATAGTTATTGCTATAAAAACATTGACAGATCAGTATCATTTATCTTACTACTTTGTGAGTTCCAGTGGCAAATATTGCCACCATTTGCCACTGATGCTTTTTCTCCAGATGTATCCCCAAACCTGCTTTCTGTTATTTTTATGAGTCTACTGTATGTCTGCTTTTGGTGGTATTACTTCCTGAAACTTTGGATGCTTAAGATAATGCAGTTTTGCACAGAGTTTTCCATCTTCATTTGTACTCCTAAAGCTGTTATACCTTGTATGGTTGCTGATGTAGTGTGTGATTAAAGAGAGGGGTGATTTTATAATGATGATAAAACTAAATTTTTGTTACAGTTTTTATTAAAAGAATAATGAACTAGTAGTTTAGGTGGGGTGCTTAATATGTATACAGTACAACTTAATTTATAAATGATAATATTGGAAGTGCTTATACTCCCTGTTGTATGGAGTTCATTCTTTTTTTCCCCTTAGTTATTATGATACTTTTACATTTCAGAGTTTCATCATTCAGTTCATCAGTTCATTGGCCTATTGCCAAATCTTTCATAGCTGGTATTCAGAGGATGATTGGAAATAGGATGACCTAAGTATCGCTTAATTTACTTCTTAGCACACAGAGTCCACATGGGTTAAGATGACTTGGCTACCTATGTAAATAGGCATTAGAGACAATATTTATGTAAATTGACTTTTTAAAAAACTGAATTCATCATTGGCAGATACTGAAGACAATCTATTCTGTAGTTCCTAGCTGTGCTTTGCTAAAGACCTTTCTTTCTTCTGAGTATATTGTATGTCTAGATTGATCTAACTTGTAGAAATGTAAGTAATTTCAAGCCAATTACATTCTTTAACCTTAGTACCATTCATGACCTTTTCTTACTCTGTGGGCATTATTTTGTAAACTGAAGAATGCTGATTTTCACTCTGTTTCTATGTAATTCTTCTGTATCTTTATTTGTGCAGTATTTTAGGAGGGGTGAGCCAGGGCTTCACACAGGATGCAATAAGTATATTTTTAACTGACATTTTATTAAGAAGTTATACCTAATATTTGTCTTACAGCATAGGTATCTAAAAAGAAGATGCTAACATCAGGGAATTTAACTTAAGTTTTCCAGCCCTGTTCATATTTGCAATGTATGAAATCATGTTACTGGAAGTACATTTTCCAGAATGTACATTTTCATGATCGTTGTGGTGAGTTCTGAAAAATATATCATAGAGCGTGAACTCTTAAAAAAAAAAAAAATTAATTTCTTTTGGTAAAATGTGAGGATGGAAGGGAAACAGCAGCTTTTTAAAAAAAATTTCTATGAAAATACCACCTCACTTTCTGGGAAAGTTAGCAGTAAGCTTTAGACTGATATAGATATTGCATGAAAAAAACACAATAAATTTCTAACACAAATAGAAAATCCTCACTGTAAAATAATCACGGTTCAACACCGTAATAGCTTCATTTCTTTTTTGTTTTCTTTTGCACATGGAATTTTATTTTGAAATAAAGGGAAATTTACAGTCAGCAAAAAGGGGCACACCAAGATTATCAGAATAATCTTAGATTGTTAGACAGCTCTCTCTGTCAGAAAAATAATATGCTTCAGTTTGACTAGAAGTTTTAAAGAGGTTCCAGACAAGATAAATGGAAACCATGGTGCCACAATGCCTTTTTAGAGAATTCCTTGCTTGTTAAACATGGTCTTGCAAAGATTGTAAGTCATCTGTTATTGACAAGATAAAGTATTTTAGAAAACCAAAGTTTTCCAAGTTTCCTTTGTACTCAGAAACAAGCATGTCATTTCTAATATTTCTGGCCCAAACAAATGCCAGCCTTGATGTTCTTGCAGGTAAATACTATGATAGTGGTTTTTCTTCTTTCACATTTGCCTTTTTGTTCAATATTATGCTGAGTTGATTTTCTTTCTTCTTCTTTTTTTTTACCCAATGTTCACTGCTGTGTCAAGATTCATTTTCTGGTTGCTGAAACTTAAAAACCCCCAAGCCTTCAGCCCCGCAGTTAGAATTATTTTCATAGAATAGAATTGTGTTTTGATTCTGAACAAGGAATTCTCCCTGTCCACATTTTCAAATGTTGGCTTCTTATATGTCTGGCTTCTTTACTAGACTAGTACTAATGCATTCTGGATCTGTCTTTTGGATTTAATGCCATTGTTGATAGAATACACTGGGCAAATTATTATTTTTCTTTCTCTAGTACTTTCTATTCTTCACTTTCTTTGCTTATTGAATATTTGAACATTATCTGTTTCATTTAAGCAGCATATATAGCACAGAGTGAATAATGCTACTATATATTGGTTGCTGGAGCATTTTTATATTTTATATATATGCTACAAGTTTTGCTTGTGCACAAATGAAGAAAAAAAAAATCCCTAGATTTTAGTTTACAGCACTCTACACGTTTAAGTTCTGTATCTAGATATATCAAATTTCTTAGAATTGTGTCAAATAATGAATGTGCTTGAAGATTTAGTATTTTTTAAAAGCACCAGTGCTCTTACTACTTGTCCTTTTTGGCCATATATGACATCACAGATGGTGCAGATCCCTCAGAACATCTTCTATAACATTTTTAGTGATTACAAAATTGGTGTTTGTCTCAAGTCTTTAGCTCTAACCAATTATGTTTGGGTAAAAAAAGGATTAATAATTTTAAAAATTGCATTTGCACTCAGAGCTTTAGTATCTTCATCATCCAGCCTGTTTTTGCAATTGTAGCAAAAATTGGAGTGACTTTGTTCTAATAGGAGAATCCTTTTCCATTACTAGTGTGAATGAAATAGTATATGTATCCTGGCCTTTTCCGTCATTTGTATATCCTGGGTTATTCAAGGGTGACTATGAACCTCACACCCAACTGAAAAATGTACATTGAGGACAGGAGTGAAATAAGCACACATTCCAGAAAACATGGAAGGAGCATATCAGTTTCATTTTTCATTAAGTTACGTTGCCATGGAAGTGCTTATAATGTTGAAGTTTAAAGAACAGGGCACACATTTGTACTGCTTGGTTACATGAAGCATAGACATGGAATATTTTCTCAGTGTCTCTTCCTTATATTTATAGGAATACAAACCTCTTTTCACTAACTGTTGTTTGGCAAGTTGACCATATGCATCCTTAACTTACAGTAATAATGCAAAGGGAATATGCATACAATATATGTAATTAATTACAAATAGAGGCTGCCAATCTATGTTGCTCATGTCTATCATACGCTGGAGCACTTCTGTGACTGGAAAAAAATAAGACTGAAGCGGACCAAAAGAATGGAAAGGTTTGGTAATAACAGGCTATGCTGGTGGGTGCTCAGTTGCAGGGTATTACTTTTTGATTATTGTGCAAAATTATTCAGTGTTCTTAAATGATTTCCCTTCAGTGCACTAGAAAGTTTCTGGAAGAATATAAATAAAAATAAATGGTGCCATTAACATTTCTAAATGTTCAAAATGTGTGGTGACTCCATCAAACCCAGAATTATCCAAGCAGATGGTTAAAAAAAAAAAAAAAGTCTAGTAATAATCATGTAGTGATTATGAAATAGTAAGGAGAAAGTTGTTTCTTAGGTGCTGAATATTGCTTTTTAATTTTGTGTCTGTTTGAGACAAAACAGAAGGATTTGTTTGTGAGAGGCTTCCTGTAATAATGACTATGCTATTTGCCACTATGGGAGTTTGTGAGAGCTTCTTTTTTCATTATTTTGCTGTAGTTCCATTTCTTAGACTGAAATGTATTTTCTGTATCTTTTCTCTATTTGCAATGGAATTTTAAAACGGTTTTATAGTCAATCAAACCTTATTTAAAATTGCCAGAGCTTTTGTATGGTGTTAGTAGTCATCTTTAGTACGTTTGGATTAGAAGCAGTCTAGCAGAATCTTTCATATTGTTGCTTTAAAAAGAGAGAGAAGACAGAAGTTTTCAAACTCCCATGAAAGAAGGTTTAACTCTGTCTTTCTTCATAGCCGATGTACTTTTCCAAAGTGACAGTATTTCAGCATCTGATCTTTGGCGATAGCTATCCTCAGCACTGCCTATAATTTAAAAAGAAAAAATGCTTTTGCTCCTGAATTTAGAAAACACAAACAAAATTCAAATTTGACAATATTCAGTAGCAACATGTAACATCTCCACCATCTACATGCTAATATCCAAGCAGAATTCAAATTGTCCAGATATGTATTCCCCTTAAATGTATTTTCTCCTGCCCTCTTCAATGGATTGTCTTCTTTTTTAATTCATGGCTTGCTATTTGCATTTTTCTCACTTTGTTTCATCTTTTGCCTTTATTCACTATACTCTATGTATTTCTTCTCCCCTTTGATTTTTTTTCCAGTTCAACTAATCTATCCTGAATCTCTCCTAAATTTTGAAACAGCTGTCCTACTTAGATTGTTAGAAAACAATTCTAGTTTGAAAGAGATGAGCGAGTGTATCAAGCATTGTCAGAGAAAAAAAATATATTTGAGGAGCAATTCACTAAATATAACCATATAATTTCTAGGAAGACAAGATATGACATGATAGTGGGAGTAGGACCAGGTTGGTGGTTCTTTGAGAAAACCGACCCATGTCCTGTGGTTGCCCCTAGGTGGCCATGTGGTATCACACCCATCTTGGCATTCTTTCTGTTTTGCTTTTTGGATTGAGGTCTTTGAAGGTTTGCTCTTTTTCAAATTGTGGCAAACTCAGGGTGATTGCATCTTGAACCCTGGTTGCTGGGGGATGGTGTGAGTGTAGATGATATTTGGTTGGGGAGGGGAGGTGGCAAGGCTCATTTGGCTTGGGTGATGAATGATTATCAGAAGCACCTAGTTGTTGGGGTGTTGTCTAGTCCCACCTTCCCTGGAAGATGTTTGGAGGTGGGATGGGGCCCTGTGGTTAGGAGGGGAATGGAGGAGGGTTGGGAGGTGGGCTGGGTGCTGTGAAGGGGGAGAGGGCAGATAGGAACAGGTGGTGATGGGCAAGAGGAGATATGGCAGGAGGTAGGGTGTGGGCCATTCTCGGGGAAGGTGACGTGTTTAATATGGAAGTCACATTCCAGCCTTCTGGTCTTTGGAATTTCATCCAGGAATCTGGTGGCTTTTAGGGGCATTGCTCTGGACACAGATGGATGTAAGCCCCTGTTTGTGAAGCTGAGCTGTAAGGGTCAGATGGGACTGCTCTTGTGTACCAGCCTCTCTGCTGTGTAACAGCTTCCCTGACTGAACTCATGGCTGAGTTGGTGGCAGAGTTCCTTAGATGAATCATGCGGGGGGACTTCAACCTGACCTGAAGTCATAGGTATTGACTCACGGCCTCCATGGCAACCATGGACCTGATACAGATTATTGACAGCCTGACTCACACCAAACTCCTGACTCACACCACACTCTGGCCTTTGTTTTTGTTTTGTGGCATTTCTTGCCATGACAGATCACTTCCTTCTAGCTCTGGAGTACTCTCTGGCTGCCTCCCACTGAAGGGAGGAAGGAGCTATTTGATCTGTCTGCCACAGCCAACTGATGGACCCAGTTGGGTTTTAAAGGGAATTTGGGATTATTCCTGAAAATCTGTTGCATGCTCTGGCTGAGGTACAATCGCTGCTTGGAATGAGCAGGTGATGACAGCCTTACATCAGATTGCACCTTTGTGGATTCTGTGACTGGGGATCCCATGGAGCTCCCTGGTTTTCTGAGGAGCTCTGGGAGATGAAGCGTCATAAAAGACGCCTATAATGCCACTGGAGGAAGAAAAGAGCAAATCTGACTGACCACAAGTAAGAGCCTTCATTAGGATTTACCTGGTGGTAAGAGCAGCGAAATGGGCTCACTCTTCTCTTATTGCATCTGCAGATAGCCAACTGGTGGCCCTGTTTCAGGTGACCAGATCCCTCCTTGGTAAGGAGGGGTTGGGTTGCTGTGAGGATTATTCTAGGCATGCGTTGGACAAAGTTTTCTTTGGATCTCTTTGGAGCTGGACTCTAGCTGGGCAGGACCTGTGGAAGGGACTGAGGCACATAAGCCACAGTCTTGCCAGGTTATCTGGGATGAGTTTCACCTACCTAGCCCTGAGAAAGTAGACAGGATCCTTGGAACTGTGAGCTCTGCCGCCTGTGTTATAGATCCATGTCCCTCCTGGTTAAGGCCAGCCAGGAGGTGCCATATAGTTGGGTCCAAATGACAGTGAATGCTTGTGGGCTGGAGAAGCTGATTCTGTTCTGAAGGGGACAGTGATCCATTCCCCTCCTCAAGACCTCCTTGGATCCAATAGTGCTGGACAACTTTCATCCAGTTTCCAACCTTTTCTTTTTAGGGAGTGTTGTTGAGGTGGCACACACAGTTTTGGGAGTTCCGAAATTCACTGGTGCCACACCTCAATTATGTGAGCTGCATGGGCTTCTAGTATACTTCTGAGTGCAGCTCAAGGTGCTGGTTATTATCTTTAAAGCCCTACATGGCATGAGGCCATGTTACTTGTGGGGCCATCTATTTCCAAGGGTTACAGCCTGTTCTAGCAAATGCAGCAGAGTGGCCAAACGGTGCCATCCTGAGGACCCAGGAGGCGTGTCTTCTCTATCACAGTGCCTACCCTGTGGAAAAGCCTCCCCCCTGAAATTCAGATGGCCCTGATCCTCTTGGTCTTCTGGAAGGATGTTAAAATCTGGCCTTTTCTCCAACCTTTAGGACCAGTATGTGCGTGTGTATGTTGCATGGAATTGTTATGTAGTGACTTGGTTATTTGTTTCCTGTATTAGATTATTTTTAATAGGTTATAGGTGTTTTATATTGTTTTTGCATGGACTGTTCACCACCCAGAATTTATATTTAAGATTGGTGGCTATATAAATTCTCTAAATAAATATATAAATCCAAGAGTTCCATAAATATGTAGAAATTTATTTACGCTTTTTTGACCTAGACTTAGTATCTCCAGGAGTACCAAAAGTATTATGTGTTTAACTTCTCAGAAGTGAGTTTCTTAAAAAAATCTGTAGCTAAGTATTCAATACCAAGGTTTTCTACTAAAATATCAGAGCAGAAATTATGCTAAATTGTTAATCTATGGGTTAATAGCTTCATCTAATTCATGAAACCTGCAATTTTGAAAGAAAGCGTTTAGAAAACATAATTGCTTCTAAGTAGATTCTAAACTAAATTCAATGCTATGTTAAATTTTAATTCAGCTATATGTAATGATGCTAAGCTGGGCTAGCAGCTTGGTACATCTTGTCTGCTACACTTGAAAATTCATGTCACTTGTTCAGGGTATGTAATGTACATCCTTTATATACCTTATATAAAGTATGTCAGTATAGTAAAACCAGAAAAGATTTTATATAAAAGTCTAGTATACATTATACCTTGAAGCAAATAGAGTACTTTTCTTCAACTGCATTTTTGTAATCTTGAAAAGGCCTGTTGATCATAGATTAGTTCTGTCCCAATCTCCTAACAAAACATATATTAGCATGTGTTCTGCAGGAAATGTGTTAGGTTATGAATATACTCACCTTTTTTGAAACATGGCAGTGTAAATGCTTCTTTGTATGTGGTTCGTGTGTACCAGTCAAATACCTTCATCTTTGCACTTTGATAATGAATATACTGTTGCAGAATTAAATAATCAAACTCATGTGGATATATAATTTCCTCTTTTTCTGGAGCTGGCTGTAGTTTTGCAAAAGGTCTAGATGAAAAGCATAAATAGTTTAGTAATCTCATGCTGAATCTAGTTTGCTAAAGATAAAACTACCCATAAGAAGAGCCCCATATCCAAACGTTTGTTCTAAGGATCTCAGTGAAGATGGACTACGAATAGAAAAGAATATGTGTAGCTCAGGGTTGAATTGTGGAGTCCTTGGGGTCCTCTGAGCTTGGTGGTTTTCTTGCAAACGTTTCGTTACCCAGCTAGGTAACATCTTCAGTACTAGAATGGAACGGGGTTTGCTCTTTGTTTATATACAGTGGTTTGCCCTGCCTGTGTTGGTGTTTTTTTTCCCCCTGGTAGTTCCTTGATTAGGGTATTGTTTACTTGTTGATTGTCTGGTGATAATCTTGGTGTTAATCCCTGCTTATCTGGGTGATGATTGCTGGTGAGAAGATGTTCTGGTCTTTTGTTTTCTTTTTATTGTCTCTTTTGAATAGTGTGTAGTTGTTGTTTATGTGCCTGTTGATGGCTGCCTGTCTGTCCTACATAGTGGTTGTTACAGTCCTTACACTGTATGTTGTAGATGCCTCCTGGTTTTTTCTCCTTGGGCTACTGGGTCTTTTGCTTTACTTAAGATGTTTTGGAGGGCTTTAGTTGGTTTGTGTGCTACAGAGATGTCATGTGGTTGTAATAGTCTGTTGGTTGTTTCTGATGGACTATCGGGTTACGTACTGCTAGTGCAGTAACTATCAGCAGTATGACAGCTTACACTGAGACTTTTATAATATTGTTGTGTTGGCCCCCTCAGAGCCTTGAAATACTGCAAATAAGGCTATGCATTTTGCAAATACTATAATTTGCATTGTGTGTTACAGAAACTTACTGTTTCATATAATAAATAATACTTTTCAGTACCAATTCAGATGGGTTTTTATAATTCTACATTAAGGATCAGAAACATTCACTGATTTTTGAGATCTAATTAATAATTTGTTACATCCTTCATTTCTACTTAGTTTGGATCACAGGGTCAAGAAATAGCTGTGTGTGTGTTTGCATGAGAAAGAAAAATAAAAAGAGGGAGGAGCGTTCAGCAGGAAGACTAACATTGTTTCAGGTAGAAGGAATGATGTTGTAGCTATTATGATTTGCTTCCTATTGCCAGATTGGAATCATACCAACATTCTGCTTATCTACAATATAGTAACTGATTTAAAGAAGATCAAAGAAAGATTGAAGGAATATAATGAAATACTGTACAATAGAGATGTCTACATACAAGATACTTAGAAGGTATTTCCTACTTACAAGAACCTCTAGTATTAGTAGATGAAGTTACATCTTCCTGATTACAACTACCCATCCCATCAGATCAGGCAGGAAAGGCACGTTATAGGTCCCATCTATTAAGGAGTTTCATCTGATGGGACTTAAGAGGCGAGCATTTTCTGCCATCACACCCGCCCTTTGGAACATCTTTCCCTCCGAAGTGAGATTAGCCCTGACCCTGTTTGCCTTCCGGAGATCTCTCAAGATGTGGTTTTTCCAGGAGGCCTAGAGATCCCTTGGGAACAGGGAGCACGCAAGATGGCTTTATTATGTATTGTGTTTTTAACTCTCTCTTGTGGTCTTGTTATATGTATGTTTCTTGTTTTTTATGGTTGTTTTAAGATGTTTTTATTCTGTTTTTATTGTATGCCACCCAGATTCGTATTTGTGAAATGGGCGGCTAAATAAATTTGATTAAATAAATAAATCAGCACTCCAGTCCTTACCAAGTTGGAAAGTTACAGGAATTGATGGAATATGGCAAGCAACAAAAGTAAAGGTTTTGTAAAGGTTCTAGCTAAGCTGTGCCAGCAAATGTGGAAAATGACACAGTGGCAATAGAATGGAAGAGGAAGAGGTCAATCTACATTTCAATACCAAAAAAGATTTCACACAGTATGCAAACTATCATATGGTATCCTTAATTTTACATGACTGCAAAATAATGCTGAAGATCATCCAATGCAAATTAGAGCACTATGTGGAAAAAGATGCCAGATGTTCAAGCTGGCTTTAGAAAAGGCCAAGGAACCTGGGACATTATTGCTAATGCATGCTGAATAATCAAGAAAGCCAAAGAATATTTTTAAGAAATCAGTTTGTGTTTCATTGATTATAGAAAGTCCTTTGATTTTGTCAGTCATGTCAAGCTGTGGAAAATGGGAATCCCAGGATATCTCTTGGCCTCTTGAGAAACCCATATAAAGGACAGGAAGCCACAATACAAACATGGTGAAATAGACTAGGTTCAGGTTTGCAAAGGAGTGAGACAAGGCTGTATACTCTCTTATTCAACTTATGTGCTGAATATATTTTAAGGTAAGCTAAATAGGAAGAAGATGAGCATGGTTTTAAAATTGGAGGAAGAAACATCAATAATTTGTGCCATGCTGATGACACTACTCTGATAACTGAAAACAAGGATCTGCAAGCTGTAGTAATAAAAGTCAAGGAGCACAGTGAAAAATGGGACTAAAATATAAAGAAGATCAAACTAATGAAAACAACCAGCCTTAGAACTGATAATGAACATATTAAAGTGCGTAGATAGCTTCTGCCTTTGAGGAACAAGCAATCAAGAAATAGGTTGCAGACTAGCACTCAGTAGAGCAGCCATGAAGGTCTTGAAAATGATACATGCCATTGATGTGTCTACACCTACAAAGATTGGAATAGTGCAATCAATGGTATTAGTTGTGTTATTCTATGGAAGCAAAAGCTGGACTTTGAAGAAGCAGGATAGAAAGAACACTGACACTTTTGAACTTTGGTATTGGAGAAGACTCCTGAGAATACCATGCATAGCCAAGAAAACAAGCCAATGGATCATCAAACAAATCAATCTGGAGTTCTCACAGGCATAAATGACCAAGCTCAAATTACTGTATTTTGGACACATTATGTGAAGACCTAGCTCCCTGGAGAAGTCTAGAATGGTGAGAAAGTAGAAGGAAAATGATAATGGACAGCAAGGTGGATGGACAGATACAGTGACGATGGTGACCCATTGGAAGACCTGAAGGATGAGGTTAAGGACAGATTATCATGGAGAAAATCTGCTTACATGCTTGCTAAGAGTTGACACTAACTTGACTGTAGATAATTGCAGTGATTTTCATAACGGCACATAAGATGTCTTTATCTTACAGTAGGGACTTCTTGTTTTTTAAGTCACAATTTCTTAAGGTTTCATAAGAATGTTTAATTGCTTTTGTTGGTCACTATTTCTGTATTTTATATTGCTGGACATTGCCCAAAACTACAAGAACATATAATAACCATTTCTGCTGTTGTCCTATCAGTTTCCAAAATGTTAGTAAATAATTCAAAAGAACATAAGATTCTACAGAAACTAGTGAGCCTTTCAGAACAAGGTACTGAAATTATTCTTGTCAAGAAGGAGCTGTTATATAAATAGCACATGCAACCCTGATTATGTGAAGTAGTCATGGGCAAGGTATTTTCAAAAATTAGCTGAATTCTCAAAAGACAATTTTAAATTTATAGTGTGATCTTCAAATGCCAAAAAATGTTTTATATGGATGTTCATATACTAGATAAAAAATGACTTATTCTGTGTTTCCTCTATACACTAAGATATTTTATTTATTTATTTGTTTGTTTGTTTGTTTATTTTATTTAATTTGTCCAATTTATATGACCACCCACCTCACAGCACATGACTCTGGGTGGTGTACAACAAAACTAAATAAATACCTAAAACAAGTTACCATTACTATTATTAAAAACATTAAAAACTATTAAAAAAAAACAAAGCTAAGACAAAGAAATAGTAGGGGAAGGGATATTAATAGGGGAAGAGATGTTAGATGCTCATAAATAGTTACTAAAGGCTTATTTAATAAAGAACAGGCTAAATTTTTACTGGGAATTCTGAAACAATTAGTGGTTTTCCTACCTCTGATTTTTTTTTCAAACAGTCCAGATAATGCATAGTTTGAAACAAAGAATTTTAGGAAATCATGATGGCCATACCCTATAGAAAGCTATTTGCTTAAGTAAGTATATATTTTTGGTCATTTTACAATAGTTCGGTTTTTTAAAACAAGGAGCTATATAAACTCTGATTTCTTTTGTTTAAATATTTATTGGTTGGTTGTTTTACATTTCAGTTTTGCACTTCTGGCTTTGTATACATTTGTATACAAACATCCCTGGGTAATGCTGGGATGATTTTCATTAGAAGTTTTTTAATACAGGTAGTCTTTGAGTTACAATGGCAATGGAGACTAGGGCTAAGTGCAACGTCACATGACTGCATCAGTTAGTGACAGCAATCCTGGGGGTCCTCATTGCTGTCACAACCCCAGGACTGTGCAGATTGTTAAGTGGAAAGGAGCAGGAGTCCCAGGTAAGGAGCACAGGGGAATGGGGGGCCGCTGTGGGCGGATGCTGGGGAGCGTGGGTGGTCTGGCAAGGGCAGTGGGCAGGCCCTGGGAAACACAGACTAGCTGGCAAGGGCAGCAGGTAGGTACTGGGAAGTGTGGCTGGGCCAACAAGGGTGGTGGGCAGGGGGTGTTACGGAGTATGGGATCCCTGGGATCTTTTAGTCCGTATTTGTGATAGAATGGACTTATGAAGGCCAGGCTCAGGGAGATAAGCGTGTTCTTAGCTCACAACAGGAGTGTGGGAAGTTCAAGAAGATGAGGCTGGCACCTCCCTAAGGAATTCACGGTGGTGTGGCTGGCTGGCTTGGGAACTAGGGTTTAGTCTGGTGGGAATTCTGTCTTGAGGTTGGAGCTAATAAACGCAACAGAACTGTATTTGCATTGTCTCTTGGAGTTCTTTGGGCTGAACCTGACAGTATTGGGGCTCCCCAGAAGAAAAAGTGGCTGGAGTGACTTACGGGAGTGACTTGCTACTTTTGCAATGGCTTCCCCATTGACTTTGCTTGTGGGAAACCAGCAGGTAGGTCGCAAATGGTGATCATGTGACTGCAGCTTGCTGTGACGTAATCGTGAACCTGATGCCTGAGTGCCCAGATTGTGATCACTTGATTGTGGGGACGTTGTGATGGCTGCAAGTTGACAAACTGATCACAAGTCCCCTTGGTTCAGCACCATCATAATTTTGAATGGTTACTGAACGAGTGGTCGTAAGTTGAGGGCTACCTCTAAGAAGTGTAAGATACATAGGGAAAAAAATCAAATCTACTTTCACAATCATTTTCTGAAGACTGAAAAGGAAAATTTGTAGAGTGTTTTAGGTATGTGCTTAACATTGATAATTAAGGATAATGAGGTTGGGTTTTTTTTACCTTAATTGCCTTTCAGGAGGATATGCAATGTAAAGTCGTGCCAGTTGACCAGGAAAGTAACCAATAACATCCTTTCCCGGATGAAAAATAGTTCTGGTAGAATGAATAAATGAATGAACAAATGAGCCATCTATATCTGAAACAGGTTTTTCTGACTCGCATTACATATTAAATTAATGGCAAAACATCCAGCTATTAAATAAAATCTATCATAAAAATGTAAAAAGCTGCACTATTTTTTCTATGACTAACACAGAATGAAAATACCTGAAACAGCTATTGTGAAACTGGTGGATCTCCTGTATGGGAGAGGTATGTGGTTAACTGATACATTGTGCAGTTGTCCAATTTATATTAGATTTTAGTTATTTCTATCATGAAATAAGGAAAGAGCTATTTTCTCCTTCTTATCCAAAGTGATTTGGGAAGAAACAGATACTTTCGATTGACTTGATTTGCAAACTTAAAAAGGCAGGATAAAAAATTGTCAATCTAAATAAATAAATCTATCTCTTGTTCATCTATTTATCAAATCATAATAAGATAAATGAAAATTGTATTAATCAAGGACATTCTAGAATACCATAATGCTGTTAATTATGGTATTGTAATCTATGCTTCCTTTGTTTCTGGAACACTTAAACAAAAGGGTCTTTATAACATAAATAACATTATAGTTGCAATGATTTATCATTATTAGCCAAAGTAGGCCTACAATAAAGCTTAAATACATGTCATATACTTAAGTTATATATAAATAACTTCCAATTCTTCCCTTGCATCCAGCTTTCCTTTCTCTTATTCTCCTCCAGTGAATATTAGAACATACCTTCCTCAAATTATGGACCTGTCTTCTGTTCTGTAAAACACTACACACTATATAACATAATATCTACCTGCTGTATGAATATAATTATCAACAAATCATAAATCTGTTTGCTTAGACAGCAGTACTGTTGCATCAAAATATGTATGTTTAGGTTGCAGCTTGAAATGCTTGTAACCCTGTTTAGCTATTTTACCGAACATGGTATATTCTGAAACTAAATAGATCCTTCTTTTCTGCCAGCAAGATAATTCCTGGCCTGGAAAGGATCCTGCTGAAAAGGGGTAGGGAAGAAGCTCCCATCCAGGGCTTCCTTCAGAATTCCAGGGGAGAAGAACTCATGGGATACTGAGTAGGACAGGGCGGATTTCTCAGGACCTCCTTGTAGATGAAACTGCTGATGTGCCAAGCACAAGTTTATGTTGATCTTTCACTAGAGGTAGGAAGGGGATACCCATAAGCCTCCATTCTAAGGGTACTGTAAATCCTATTCTTGGCCAATAAAAACATTGAACATGTGCCCACCTGCTCAGGAAAAGAAAAGAGCAAGGTAAGCTGGTGAGATAGAAAATGAACGGCAGAAGAAGCTGGAGAAGAGCAATTTTTACCTGTTTGTCTTTGGGTCAAACCTCCCTGTGGCAGGTTTTTAAAATTCCAAATGTGCCCCTTGGTCTAAAACATTAATTATTTCTACTGATTAGTAGGCCATTCTTCTGATGCAAGTCACAATACAAATAGGATAATGTTTGTGAAATATTTTAAGTGCACAAAATAATATTCTAAAATAGACTTTTAACCTATCCCTTTCTTTCTGTGATGCATGAAAAATCACTTGAGATTTGTAATTAGACTGTCATTGTAATTAGTTTAATTTTATGTTTGGCAAGGTGTCTTAAAATAGCTTCAAAATAATCATTCTGAGGTCCTGGATCAATCTTGAGGGATTTTGTTTGTTTTTGATACTTTACCCTGGAATGGTCTCTGGTGCTGGATCTATAAACTGCCGTAATTTTATTGCTGCAACTTGTCCTGCCATTAGAATTCCTAAGGAAAAATAATACATTATAACACCTACTGCTACTAATTCAGTATTTACTCAATATATAAGATCATAGTCTCATTATAATACTTACCATATATACTCATGTATAAGCCCATCCACAGATAAGCCAACCCTCAAATTTTTAACCAAAATACCATGAAGAATGCACCACCTGGGGATAAGCCAACCCACATTTTTCATGGTATTTTGGTTAAAAATTTGAGAGTCTACTTATCCGTGGATAGGCTTATACACAAATATATATGGGATATATGAGTACTTAAATATATATATATATGTGTGTGTGTGTGTGTGTGTGTGTGTATATACACACACACACACACATACATACTTGTGGATAAGTCCATCCGCGGATAATCTGAACCCAATTTTTTGGGTGCATTTTGGTGCTTAAAATTATTGGCTTATAATATTTATGTCTTTCTATATCATGAAATTGTAAATATTTAAGTCAGGTTACTTAAACCATAGGAAACAAATGGTGAATTAAACATAAATTAGCATATATAGTGCAAATTAGTGCTGGTCAAAGATGGCATCAGCCCACCCAAAGCACATCAAAGTTAAAATAGTGCTATAGGAAAATGCCACACCCAAGCTTCACAAAGCATATGCCATATGCAAAAAGATAGAAACTGAACTGGATCAGACAAAAGCTGATGGAATTCTTTGAAAAGTTGATTGGAGCCCATGGATCTCCAGCTAAAAACAACAGAACTGTTTGGATCTGTGGTGATCTGTTGCTATGCTTACCCTCTGGAATAGCTAATCTCACTGGGGAACAACATTTCAGCAAAATCAACATAGCAAAGGCTTATTTATAGATGGAAGTGGAGGAAAATTCCAAGGTGTTTCTTAGTATAAATACCCACAACAAGTTATATTATAACTTGTTTTTGCAGTAGTATCTGCACAAGAACTTTGCACCAAGTGTTACAGAGCTATCTATGCACCTAGTACTATTTGCATTAGATTATTGCCATTGGAGAAAATGATGAGGTGTACCTTGAAAACCTCAAGAGAGCACTGCAGCAATTGAAGGACTCAGCCTTTGAGTACAACACAACAAATCTGAGTTCTTTAAACATAATATTACATATTATGGTCACACGACTTATGCCCAAGGCCTAAACAAGTGAAATAAGCAAATTCAAGTAGTTGGAATGCTGCAAGTCCACAAGAACTGGGACAGCTATGGCCTTTTTTAGGTTGGTTAATTATTACAATAGATTCCTGCCCATTTTTGCCACCTGCTATTCCATTTAAGCACTTTACAAGTGGGGAGGGCATAGCAGTGGGGAAAAAAAACAGGCAAATAAGCTTCTGCAGAAGCAAATTGTAACATTAGACATTGTACTCAAACATTATAGTCTGCACTTACCAATGAAACTGGCTTGTGAAGCCTAAAGAAGATAGCATTGGTGCAGTTGTGTCACACATCATGACAGATGGCAGTGAGTGCCCTATAGCTTTTGCATAAGCTTCAATCATAGCTCCAGGGAAGGTTATACACAAACAGGGGAGCACTGAACCTGATTGGGAGATAAACACTTCAACCAGTACTTGTATGGAAAGGAATCTCTCCTCATTACAGAACATCAGCCAGTACAGTCAGTCATTAATCCACAGTAGGGGACTCTGCTTACAGCACCTGCTGAAATGCAGAGTTGGTCTTTGTTCCTTGAAGGGCACGGATACAAAATAAAATTCAAGAGGATAAACCATCAGGCACATTAGGCACATCGTCTCATTTACCTTGAAGGGTAAACAATATGAAAAATTCACATCAGATAGAGATTCCTTTAACATATATTCTCTCACAGAGATTGGGAGTCTTTTCATTAGAGGTTGAGATGATTCAAAGAGAAACCAAGAGAAACCCAACATTGCCTCAGGTCTACACAGTGTTGGAGAAGCTATACGCTGGAGATGCTTGGATACTTGGAGTAGAAAAGATAAAAGATAAAGGTACTAACTAGATGGTAGTTTTGTTTGGTGGCAAAGAATAGACTAACAAATTGAAAGGCTTTCAATGAGTTGCTTAAATTGCCAATATGTCTATGATGCTCCAAACAACACCACTTCGCCCCTTGGGAATGTCCTACTTTGCCAAAACATAGAATTTATATAGACTTGCAGGACCATTTATGGGCACAACATTTTAAGATATGCTGAGTGCATGTCCAGAAGAGTTTCCAATAATTTCAGTAAGAGCCACTCATGCCACAAATATTTTCAAAAAATCAGTGTATGAGAACAATTAGTGAGTGACAATGGACCACAGTTTTTAGCAAGATACTTTCAGGCATTTCTGGGGAGAATGGAATCAGGCATATAACATCAGCATCTTATCATCCAGCTATATATGCATCAGCTGAAATATTTGTTCAAAGCTTCAAGAATTACAAGAATGTCTGGAGAAAACATCACATTGAATCAAAAGCTCTTGCATAATGTAGCACAGTGCACAGAACAATGAATCAAATGCCAGCTATGTTGATCTTAGGCTGTACTGTATATTCTAGTTGGATTTTCTCAAACCTAATTTGAGAAGTGCTCAGGACAAATAGCTGAAATAAGCTGAGAAATCTACTTATGCTGAAACATGTCACTTTTCCATTGGACAAACTGAATTAGAAGGGACTATAGAGGGGAGTGTAAGTGGACAATCAGAAATGTTAAAAGAACAGCAGCAGCAGCAACAGGACCTCTTTATTATACTGTTGAGAGGGTTCCTAATAACATTTGGAGAGAACAGATTGACAAGTTGAAGAAAATAGAGATACTGAAAGAAGTTGTGACTGGTGTAGATGGAGACTCAACTATAATTCCTGAATTACCACCAGAGGCACTTACCCCCAAAGTACCCATATTCCTGTTTATGGTAATAAAGCCAATAGAATGCTATGATTTGTAAATATAATAGGATCTGTATCTTGATGAGGGTGTCAGTCCAACTGTGGAACGTTCTTAGAACCAGAACATCTCATTGTCCTCATGCAAAACCTATAGTCAGGTCAGAAGCCACAGTACAAACAGAATATGGCAAAACAGACTAGTTCCAGGTTAGCAAAGGAGTGAAACAAGGTGGTATACTCCCCTTATTTATTCAACCTATTTGTGGAATATATATTGAGGGAAGCTGGATTGAAAGAAGATGAGCATGGTTTTAAAACTGGAGGAAGAAACATCAATAACTTGTGCTATGCAAATGACACTATTCTAATAGCTGAATATGTAAAGTACCTGCAAGCTCTAGAAATGAAAGTCAAGGAGCACAGTGAAAAAAATGGGACCAAGGTTAGATATAACCAAGACCACTGCAACTACCAATTGCTTGAATAGCAATGAAAGCATTGGAAAAGATGTTCAGATACGGTAACATGTGCATACCTACAAAGATCAGAATTGTGCAGGAAATTTTGTTCTCTGTGACACTGCATGGAAGTGAAAGTTGGACTTTGAGGAAACAGTATAGAAAGAGTATTGATACTTTTGAACTTTGGTGGTGGAGAAGACTCCTGAGAATACTGTGGACAGCCAGGAAAACAAACAAATGCATCACTGAACAAATGAACCCAAAGTCCTCACTTGAGAACCAAATGACCAGGCTCAAATTATCATACTTAGGACACATTATGTGAAGACCTACTGGAGTTCTCTCGAAAAGTCCATAATGCTAGGGAAGGTGGAAGGAGAGAGAAGAGGACAAAAGGAGCAAGATGGATGGACTTAATTATAACGGTTACGGGTTTATTGTTGGAAAGCCTGAAGGACCAGGTTGAGGACAAGTTATCATGGAGAAAATTTATCTGCGTAGTCACTAAGATTCAACACTAACTTGATGGCACATAATTAAAAAAGCTTGGTGAGGAGTGGTATTGTGTACTGGACTATTGTTATTATTAGTTGTTTAAACATGCCTGTGATCTTATACCAGTTATCTTGGCCTCTGTGAATATGTTGTAATTCTTAAAGTCTCATTGGAATTAGTTTTGCTATAAATTTCAGTGAAGCAAGCAGCAGAAAAACTTACTCCTTATTTAAGTGCTTTTTAATTTGATCAGTAGAAATGACACAGCAAACTAGCATTTGGAAAATAAATTATCTGTCAACCACATGGGTAAATTATGTTTTGGTTATTCCATGACAACAGCCACAATGGCAAATGTATAAATCTAATAGCTGAATGAGTCAGAGGCTGAGCAGTAGAAAATTCTACATTTCTGCCCCAAGTAAATAAAGTCACTCCCTTTTTTGTCTCTCAGTAAAAATCTACTGACCTTTGATTTGACTCACTTATTGTGTTTATATACCATCCAGTTACCATACTTCTCTGGGTACTTTACAATAAAAATATTGCTGGATGCTGTCTTTAAAAATCACTTGAAAACACTGAATGCTAGTTATAATTAATCAAGTTATATACCCTGCTATCTTAACAATTGAATGATCATAATGAAGCTTACACAATACTATTGAATGGAATGCAACCATTGTCTACAAAATATTTCAAGCCTTGTTATTTTAGTCAACCTTAGAACAAGTAGCAGGATGGTGTTTAAATGTGACATCTCTGAACCAACATACACAACGCCTGAACTGGTAAGATCTGTTACATTTATCAACATTTTCATATTCTTGTCAGCCAGCTATACGACTTTGTATTGTCAGCAATGCCATCAGAGCTTTCAATTCTCCATCATCCCAAATATCAACATTTCTAATTTTAGCTCCTACCATTTTGTTGTAAACTGTAGAACTATGAAGTGATTCTTATAGCCTACTATTATAATTTACATATGTACATTCATATTCAGGTTACACAGGTACATGGCATTCAATACAAATTAACTTTCATAGCCAAATAGGGGTGTTGGAACATAAAGCTGATGTTTATAAAACTGCACATTTCACTCACATTTCTACTTCATCAAATCTTGAGGTTTAAGTCAATGGTTTTATGAGGGTAGAAGGTGGTGTCCAGTTAACCCATTCTAGAATTGTCAACAGACTGAAGAGGTTGACTATTGTCCTTCCCTCCTATATACCCTTAAACTCTGATCCTGAAGTCTGAAAGATCCTCTGGAGATTTGGAAAGCTGCAGGGAGGTTTCAGGATAGGCAAGGCTTTGTTTGTTTGTTTATTTATTAGCATGAGTGGGTATCATTTTATACAATATTGAGTTTTGCTCGTATTGGTTGTTTTCCCACTACGTTATAGAATGTGGACATAGATATTAGATGTGTTCACTTCAAATTTATGAGAAGCAAATATTGTCCTTAATTTTCCAGCCTAACTCTGAATTTGCATATAATGCTTAATGCCATTGATATACTGCGTGTAC